TTATCATTGTGACTGGCAGTGTTCCAGGTGTTGGTTGCTCCATCAGCCTGGACTGCAGAGAGAAGACAACTTTAAAGCAAAACTCCTTGACATGGAATATGAGCAAGAAACAAGCCCTTGTTATTTTAAGCCACAGACAAATGGAGGGCAATTTGGCAATATTTATCAAAATTATAAATGCATATCCCCTTGGTATACTTGCAGACATGCAAAATGACGTATGTACAAGGTTACTCATTTGTAACATGGTTAACAGCAAATGACTGGAAACAACAAAATGAACATCAACAAAGAACTCACTACTTGCAGAACAAATACTTCATTCAACAGAATATTACGCAGTTATAAAAAATAATGAAAAATTTTCTTCTTTCTGGTATGGAAGGATCTCCAAATAGAAAATCAAGATATTCTCGGTATGTATAATATACCATCTTTTGTATAAAAAGGGGTAAAGAAGCATTAGTATATTCATATTTGCTTGTACCTGCAGACAGATATTCTAGAATGATAAATAGGAAACTAACAAAAAAGATTATCTTGAGTGGAGGGTGAAGGAGTGATTAGGTGGAACTTCCAATTACTTGGGGCAGGGGGGTGGTGGCAGGGCAAAAAAATCCTTGGTGTTGTGCTTAACTTCTTTCTCTCCCATAACTTAAACCAATATGCTACTAAATCTCATCTTAAGTATAAATGGTATATTTCTGCTTCAATCTTAAACTGTTATCAGAACCCTCTTTAAACTCTGACTTGTTTCTCCTCTTGGACATTTCTGATCAGTTGCCAGTTACTTTACCTGTGTTAAGAATATCTTTATTCTTTTACTATTGTTCTCTTATTCAGTTAAGTTCTTAGTTACTCTTAGGTAAACCATGCCTCTGTCTATATGATTCCAAGCTTTGGCAACTGTTTTCAGCTAGTCTTTTTGAGAGACTCTGAATTATGATACTTCTGAAAAAGAAAAGGCCATAACTTAAACTGTGTCTTCTCCAATATATTCTTATTTTTCTAATTCAGAGCTTTCCTTTTACATGGAGAACGTTAATTACTTTGCTTTGCTTATAGGAAGAATTACAAGGCCCTTACTTTTAAAAAAAAATTAGAAATAAAAAATCAGTAAGTATTATGACATTCATTCCATAAATGTTCATTTTAAATGCCTGTTTAGGCCAGGCATGGTGGCTCATGCCTGTAATCCCAGCATTTTGGGAGGCTGAGCCAGGTGGATCACCTGAGGTCAGGAGTTTGAGACCAGCCTGGCCAACATGGTGAAACCCCATCTCTACTAAAAATACAATAAACTAGCCGGGCATGGTGGTCCACGCTTGCAGTCCCAGCTACCAGGGAGGCTGAGACATGAGAACTGCTTAAACTCAGGAGGCGGAAATTACAGTGAGCTATGATCATACCACTGCATTCCAGCCTGGGCAACAGAGTAAGGTTCCGTCAAAAAAAAAAAAAAAAAAAAAGCTTGTTTAGCCAGATGCAGTGGCTCATGCCTATAATCATAGCACTTTAGGAGGCTGAGACAGGAGAATCGCTCGAGCTCAGAAGTTCAAGACCAGCCTGGGCAACACAGTGAAATTCTATCTCTACAAAGCATTAAAAAAAATTAGCTGGGTGTGGTAGTGTGTACCTGTAGTCCTAGCTACTCGGGAGGCTGAGGTGGGAGGATCACTTGAGCCCAGGAAGTTGAGGCTGCAGTGAGCTATGATCATGTCACTGCACTCCAGCCTAAGTGGCAGAGTGAGACCTTGTCTCAATAAATAAATAAACAAATATTTGTTTGCCTCATGTCAGTCTATATCAACAGACTCCCAGTGTTTGCAATTAGGCAGCCCTACCCATGGAAAATTTTTTTAGCATGAACCTCTCAACATATGTACATTTATTCATTTAAAAATTATATAGATGTAGAGCTACATTAATATACATTATAAAATTTAAAATGTGAAAAGCATAACAAATTAAAATTTTTTTAAATGTTTATTAATAACAAAACATTTTTTGCTGTAACTAAAAATATTCACAGTGATACATTTTTTTAAAACAATGTGATATAATATGCCTAATTGTTTCCTAAATCTTATTTCAATATTTTCTTATTGAATGACTTTAAGGTCTGATTGTACATTCAATTACTTCAATACATGGTTTTCATAGCTGTCACAGCTGAAAAAGATAATGATATATCAAATCTAATGAAAGAAGAGCAGTTGGTTCCAACATACTAATTATTCAGAGATTTTGTTAAACTTTAGTAATTTTTCCTCTTCTCTGATGTCACTCAGCTGTTCTTGCAAAATCGTGAGAAATATTTTCACATTTTTAACAAATAAGTTCAAAACTCATTGGAAATTGTCATTAGAAAGTTTTTTAATATGTTAATAGTCTCCAAGATTTTAGAGAATGCAGTTATGAGTTTTTATCAGTAACATTGTTTCTGATAAAAGCACACACACACACACACACACACACATATATATATACACACAAATAGTAGCATTTTCAAATATCTGTATTCAAAAGCAGCTATCTTTTCAGTAATTACTAAAACATTATCTTCTCCCTGAAGGGTCAAATTAAGAGTGCTCATATGAAGCCAGAACAATTTGAGCACTAAAATAAATGACAGTAATGGATTATAACTCACGTAATAAGTTAGAAATGTAAGAGTCATAATGCAATATTGACATAAATACATTAATGAGAGAAAAGGGAAATCTCTTCCTAAAAATAGAATGCCAACTAATTAATATAGAAAGAATAATAGAAACAGAAAGTTACAAATTGGCAAGCACCATTAGTGGTGGTAGATTCAGACAGAAGACGGCTACTTAGCTGGTAGGTAGAGATTTCATGAGGAAAGAGATACCAGCGTATCCTCAGAGTACTGCACCACAAGGCACTTAACAATTACAAAGGGAAAAATGGTGCTTTGACAGTGGAGAAACCTGGCCAATACAAACTTAACCAAGTGACCAAGGCTAACATTATAAATGGTAGGACACATTGACATCAGGTACTTTCTGACGCAATGCTCTGAAAACAGCACAGCATCATTTTATTGTGTAATTCCTGCCATGAAAGGATGGCCTCAGTCCGGACACAAGGAAACACTGAATGGGCCCAAATTGAAGAATATGCTACAAAATGAAAAGCCTATACCATTTAAAACTGCTGAGGATGGGAAACACTGAAGGAGGCTAAAGAGATATCATGACTAAATGCAATGTGTCATCCTGGAATGGATTCTGGATTAGAAAGGAAAAAGGGACATTGTCGGGATGGCTGGCAAAATATGCATAGGGTCTTGATAATAGTGTTGTTATTGTTGTTTGGCAGATTTGAATGGTTATATTGTGGTTATACAGGACAGTAGCCTTGTTTATAGGGAAATACAAAGGAAGATTTAGAAATGACAGAATATCATGTCTCCAATTTTCTCTCAAATGATTCAGAAAAAGATTGATCATAATGGAGGGAAGGAAATGAAGTAAATGTGAAATGTGAATAGTTGGAGCATCTGGGTGAGGAGACATAGTAGTTCTTTACTGTTTTTGCAACTTTTCCTTAAGTTTAAATTGCTTCAAAATAAATTAAATTTTAAAGTACATGTGCACATATGTGAGCATGATTGCACTTTTAATATCTGCCAGATATTATACTACCGACAGCCAATTGTCATTAAACATGTAACTTCAATAAATCGTTATATCAAAAAGATACCTGCACCCATATGTTTATTGCAGCACTATTCACAGTAGCAAAAATATCATGGGCTGAGTATAGTGGCTCACACCTGTACTCTCAGCACTTTGGAAGGCCAAAGCGGGAGGATCGCTTGAGGCCAGGAGTTCAAGACCAGCCTGGGCAATACAGCAAGACCCTGCCTCTACAAAAAAAAAAATTTTTTTTTTTTTTTTTAATTAGCCAGGCATGGTGGTGCTTGCCTGTAGACCCAGCTACTAAAGAGGCACAGGTAGGAGGATTGCTCGAGCCTAGGAGTTCAAAGCTGCAGTGATCACGCCACTGAACTCAGGTTGGGCAAAAGAGCAAGACCTCAACTCAAAAAAAAAAAAAAAAACAAAAAAAAAACGGAAAAAGATATAGAATCAACCTAAGTGCCCATCAACAGATGTCTGGCTTTTAAAAATGTGGTGTATATATATATACACACACACACACACACACACCATGGGATACTGCATGGTCTCACCTATAAGTGGGAACTAAATAATGTGTACACATGGATTTATAGACACTGTGGAATAACAGACACTGGAGACTTAGAAGGGTGGAAGCAGGTAAGGAAAGAGAAATTACTTAATGGGGATAATGTACACTATTCGGATGATGGCTACACCCAAAGCCCAGACTTCACCACTATGCAATATATCCATGTATCAAACTTGCACTTGTACCTCCTAAACTTACATGGAAAATAAAAAAGCACCTTCTGCCTAAAGACTGCCTACCTCCTGACACACAGATAAAGACACCTTAAACTTGTAACACTGAAAATGAAAAATATTTATCTTTGTTTTTACATTTTTTTATGTTGTTTCAGATCTTAGTGTGTTCATGCTTTGGTACTTCAACTGGCAAATTCCATAGATATTTTTGTACCCTGTTTTGGCCCCTACAGATTAGCCAGTATGAACTGGCTAGGTAAGGGAGACAACTATCCTAAGGGGCTTGAAATCTTCTCTTGCCCTAAATGCAAACTGCTTCAAAGAGACAATGAACAGTACTTGAAAAATAAGCATCTAACTTTATGGTCAGGCTCTCAGCCCAGTAGGTCTATTTAATTTCCATTCATCAGCACAGAAGAAAGCCACTGGCCGCTTCCCATCCCTTAAAGCTCTGGCTTAATTGTCATGCATTCCCAGAAGCACACTGTAAGAAGATGACTAATCACTGATTGCTTCTCCAGCACCATATGTCTCCCAATTTCAAAGGAAAAATTGTCCCAACCAGTACTAGAACAGATTTCCTACCTCCTGCAGCTGGAGTCGAACCTTGGTAACTGCTCGGATCCAATGTACTCTGGCTTGGGTAAATGGTGAAGATACATTCTCCTCAGGAAAACTTGTAACAGAGAAAAAGTACACTTCTTAAAAACAGCCAAGGCCACAAGGTGACACTGCTCGAGGCAAGACTGCCAAATGTCTAAAATAAAATGGTTTGTACTCATGCCTACACTTATTTAGTGATTCAGGCTACTAAAACAGCATAGTACTGAATATCCAATGTGAAAACAATTCCTCTCTAAAACGATAACTCCTTTTGGCTTCTCATCTGTTCCCTCTTTTATATATTTATTTACTTTTTTGAGACAGGGTCTCAAAAAAGGCCCCTGCCCAGGCTGAAGTGCAGTGGCATGATCATGGCACTCTAAAATGACAATTCCTTTTAGCTTTTCATCTGTTTCCTTCTTTCCTACTCCTTTTTTTCATTTACCCAATGTGGTGGCTTCCTGGAACACTCTGGGATCAGGACTCTAGAGGCAATGGCAAGAGCCTTGAGTCAATAGTAGTATAGAAACCATGCAGAGAGGGGTAGAATAAGCCTTTCAATCCCTTTCACTGCACTTCTTAAAACAATCAGTTCCCTTGGGGGTTTTGCATAGCATCCTTAGGGCAGAATTTTGTTCCTGCAAACCCTTCCTGCTCCAATAAGTATTTTAGAAGTCTTACCCATTCCTTTTTACATGAAAAGTGCCAAGAAAAAAAAAAAAAACAGCCCTTCAACTGCCATGATCTTGTTCCTTGAGCTGCTTCTAGAACACCCTCAGTAAAATGAACAATACACATAACAAAATACCTTTGAGACAGAAACACTACCCTGCATTAGAACAATTCATTATCCACACTAACTAGAATAGTGGTTAATTCTTGGCAACAATGCTTCTCCTTTCTCTCTTTGAGGTCTACAGTCAATTCAGCAGACAAGTGTCCACCATCTAGACATGTAAAACATATGGTTGGTTCCGATGCCAACTAAATGTGTCAACTGTTCTAAAACATTTGTGGGTACTTCTGGCCAAGGTAGAACTGGATTTCACTCTCACAGATAGGACCTGAGAGGACACAACCAGTAGAGAAGGACAAGGACTTGTGCTGGGCACTTCTGTTTCTCCATAAGGAGCTCTGCCCTGATAATAGTGACTGCCAAGTCTAAGGTCTATGGAGAGCCAGAGTCAGTTTTTCAGTGGGTCATCAACCCAATAAGAAGCCTGATCCGCAGCTCACCTCCTGGAGGTCCCATCTATTAGATGAGCTACCAGAGATGACTAAAAATCAAAAAAGGGAAGAAGAGAGAAAATAAGTTAATATCTTCAGAAAAGTTTGCGACTCATCTATTAATCCAGTAGTAAAGTAGAAGCATCAGCCACTCCCTAATTTTTACCATGTAATCCGCATTCAGTGCTCTGGTCTTTCAGTGAGAGGCTTTATTATTAGATCTTGAAATTTGAAAGTCTACGTCATACCCATCCCTTATCACTCTACCCCAGTGGGCAACTGTCCCTCCAGGGGAAATCTGTCAGGAGACAGTTTTAGTTGTCACAGCTGAGGGTTGCGAGGATTGCTACTGGCATCTAGTGTGTAGAGGCTAGTGACGCTTTTAAACATCCTATAATATATACAACAATCACCTGGCCCAAAATGTCTCGAGTGCCGAGTCTGAGAACTCTGGCTCTGCTCCAACCTATTGGCTAGTCTAACCAATGTAGCTAGTAATAACATTCAGACTCCGTACTCGGCTTCATTATGAGATGTTAAAGAGGACACATTTAAAATTTTTCTTCCCATGGATATGAATTGGCAGACACATTGCTAGGCCCTGAGGAGGCCGAGGGGTGGGTTACATCTGACTTCTAGATCAATTCTTCCTTAACTCTGTCCTGGGTTTCTCAGCCAGGGAAAAGCAAAACAAAATGTTCACCAAAAAAAGTTACAACAGAAATCACTGTTATTTTCCAATGGGATTTTCCCTGAAGTTCCTCCTAAGTACCTGGTATTTTCAGGCTGATTTCTCATCCTCTAGCCCATACCAGCAGAATAGGTACCAGGTCACTGTTCTGAGCAGTTCAACACACATACACATATACCTGTACATAAGTACATGCACACACTGACCCGGACCAACCCCTTTGAACAAGTTTGGGCCAGAGGCCAAAGTAGCATTCTTAATAGGTTAGGAAATCAGCCAAAGTACGCACAACAGCCCCAGTGGATGAAATAACCTGGCTCAAGTCAGTTCCTGACTCAGAGGCTGCCATATACAAGGTCAACTAGTAAGCTATGAACTGCAAACTCAAGAAGTCCTGGTACACTGCATCTCACTAACGACAAAGAACCCAAATGCTGGCCAGGTGCAGTGGCACACACCTGTAATCCCAGCACTTTGGGAGTTTGAGGCAGGTGGATTGCTTGAGCTCAGGAGTTCAAGACCAGCCTGGGCAACATGGTGAAACCTTGTCTCTACAAAAAATACCATTAGCCAGGTGTGGTGGTGCACAGCTAGTAGTCCCAGGGACTCAGGAGGCTGAGGTGGGAGAATCGCTTGAGACCAGGCTGTCGAGGCTGCAGTGAGCCAAGATCGAGCCAGCCTGGGCAACAGAGTGAGACTCTATCTCAAAAACAAACAAAAACCCAAATGTTCAGAGATCTCCAAAATATCTTGGAAAGTACACCATAAATCAAAGGAAGCAATATAGAGTTGAGCTTAGGGGTGTTAACTATCACCATACCCAGCTGCAGGGAAACAAATGACAATCACTTATTTTCAACAATACCACAGGGCAGGTACTGAGAAAGCCATGTGAGCTCCTCAAGGGAGCTGTTGCCTACCTTTCCTGGGGACCTAGGAAGTGGTCTTTGTGCAGCATCAGATCTGGGGGAGGGTAGGTTGTGGCATCTTCTTTCGTCACCTTGGGTTCACATGCTGCCTCCTTCTCTGCTTGAACTGTCACCTCCAAGGGTTTCTCTTGTTCTCTGAAACCTGCTTGGCCATCTCTGGACAGGCTGTTAGAGCTGTGGCAAGAATGAATTGAGTCCCTCTCCCGATGGTCGTCATCTTGTTCATGATACTGGTCTAGCTCACTTAGCTGAGAGCTTCCTTGACTCACATTACAGGAGGAGCCATACCTACTGCTGCTGGTGGGGCTGTGAGAATGACAGAAAGACAGAAAAGTAAATAAATGCAATCAAGGGCCAGGATAAAAGCATGGAGACATCCAGGAAATAATGACTATATCAGTAGCAAGAATCAAATAGGAGGTTCCTGGGAAGAGAGGACCAAACTTCATAATCTAGAATAATTAGTCTCTATTCAGCAAAAACACAACAGGAAAACAACACAACATGCTGGGTTCTCCAACGACACTTAACCTCAACCCAGTACTTGACTTTGAAGGATATTTTATCTTAATAGGCTATTTGTGAGTAGGATTAAAAATTATTAAAATGGCCTGTTACTTGTTCCTAAAATTCTTTATTCAGTCTTCTAAAGAAGCTTGTCCAGTGGCTGTGATTAAATTTTTTTTAATTTCCACACAGTAAAATGGAATGAATGAACTCCACTCTTTTTCTATTACTTATTACACTGAGGTCATTATCTCTTCCTCTACAATTGTAAATGTGTATTCTTGTACCTTAGGATGAGCAAAGGAGAGTAGATATGTTCCTTCAATTATCATCTCAGTTTCCTCATCTGCAAGATGAGTTAATAGAACCCATTAGAAGATGGAGGCTAGGACCAAGAGATTCCACAAAGGAATGGACTCATCAACGTAAGTGCTACAATGATATCCCTGGCAGCATAGGAAGTGTCCCAAAGATGAACATCTGTAACTGAGCTTCTTTCAGGGCAAGGCTCAGTTTTGGAAAGAGTGGACAAAGTCCAACTCCAGGATCTGGGTCAGAGCTGTATTCATGCATCTCTGTATCTGAAGGCCAGCAAGCCAATCTTTTCTCAATCACCTGTATTCCCATGTCCAGAAAGTTATGAGAGAAAGCAGTTGTAGCAGAGAAAGTGACAGTGGCAAGAAGGGCAGAGTGGTGGAAAGAAGAGCAGTACCTAGAAGTTACTTCCTTGAGTTCTATGGCCGTATCATCTAAGGGCTTCAGTTCTTTTGAAGAATTTTCTTACCACAGAGTCAAGCCTTTAAACTAAAGGGCTTGTGTTTACCCTTGGTCAAAGAAGAGAAATCACTGTTATTTTCCAGTGGGATTTTCCCTAAAGTTCTTCCTAATTACCTGGTATTTTCAGGCTGATTTCTGATCCTCTAGCTCATGCCAGCAGAATAGGTACTAGGTCACTGCTCTGAGTAGTAAAAGGCAGAGATGATACCCTGGAAGAAGTTATGTAAATCTGTATGGAATAGGATATGGGAATACAGACTATCCCAAGGCATCCTTTGCACTTTGTATTTAACTTAAAACACTCATTGCCACTGGAGAAAGCATCTTAGAAGACTTGAAAAAACAAAGCAAAATAGGTCTATCCCCATCTCCTACAAGATATAAGTGCCTCAGGCCCAAGGAAGCATCCTAGCCTATCATGTAGTTGTACTACTTGCTACCTCTTCCTGCCCTCCTTTCTCCATTTCGCATTATACAAGGCAGAGGAAACCAGAGTGAGTAAATCTCCGGGCCCAGCCTTTGCTTTAAGCAGGAAGCTCCTTGTTCCAACAAATGAATTACAATTGGCATAGAGAGAAGAGGAGGATGAAAATACCCACACATTGAGTTCTTGTTATTTAACCCCTAATTAACATGAAGCTCGGGTACTAGGAAAGACACAGGAAGGATAAAAAGTAAGCTATGATTAATCTACCACTAAGTCACTTGCATCATAAATGGTCGATTCTTTAAAGCCATTTATGATGCTTGAGTTAAGAACAGGCCTTTTGTTGGTCACTGGCTCCATGATGTCATTCAGAGTGACTGGCTGCTGTACATTCAAATCAGAGTCAGTACTAGCAGGCACTGCCTCCTCTTCCTGTTTTTCTGGCTGGTGAAATATCTCAGAGACAGTGGAGGGTTCTTCCTCATGTTTCCCTGAAGGACAGGTGGGGCTAGAGAGGCTGCCTTTGGTATCCCAGTGTTCTCCGGATGCTGAGATTTCCTGCTGGTTTCCCCCTTCTCCAGGTCCTGAAAGCCCCTGAGCACAGACCTCTGGCCTGGCTGCCAGCTGCTCAGAGGTCCCAGAGGGCTGAGTGTAGACTTTATCTGGCTGAGCACTGGCCCCAGATATCTGAGAAGACTCCAAAGCTTTGTTAGTCTCACTGGAGTAAAGGTCCTGATCACTACTAGTAACTAAAACCGGAGGGGAAGATTCTGTAGGCATTTGCTCAGGGCCCCATTTGTTCTCTTTTGGCCACGGAAATGAAAGATCCACCTTTCCAAACCCTAGTTTTGAATCACTTGCTAGTACACTTCCTTTCCCCTCACCATTTCCCTCAAAGAAAGTTGACAACTTCTTAAAACTGGACATTAAACCAGTCTCTGTTGCTCTATTGCCAGAGGGGAGAGATGAGGAAAAGAAAGAGCTCAGTGGTTTCCCATGGTTAGTAGCAGAGGATGGCAAACGAAGCTTTGGCCAACTGGTCACATTTGGGATCTCAAAACGTGGTCTTGACTGCTCTGTTTCCTGGGGGACTGCAGGTGGATCTTTCTTGGCATGAATTATCTCACAACTTTCTTTGGCAGGAAGCACAGGGTCCTCCAGCAGAGGATGAGAAAAGCGCCCTTCGGTTTCCAGTGTGGTGCTCTGGCTCACACTTGCATCACTGAACAGTGTAGTATCAGTTTCTAGTGAACTGGCTGGATGCAGCTCCAGTAAGTCTTGGTTTGTGGAGGCAGTTTGAATAGCTGGCTCTGGCTCAAGAGGAAGAGGTGGCTGAATTGGAGGAAGCTCTTCGGCAATGCAGGTAGGATCTGATTGCAACTGTGTTGGCAGCGCAATGTTCTCTGCTTCTAATGATGCCTCTGTGTCTGTAGCTTGCAATATCCCCATGTCTCCTTCATCACTCAGAGACAATACTCCTTGCCCAGTATCATCGCCTGAGAAAGAAGATGTATTAATTGTTTCAGAACGTTGAAGTTCCAGAATATTTTCAGAAGTATTATTGTCTTCCATTTTGGTTGTTAGCTTAGGATCATCTGTCAAGATATCTGATTTTGGCTTTGCACTAACCACAGTCATTCTACAGTCACTGAGAGTAGATTCTGAATTGGGTGCTGTAAAGGCAGCTTCTCTCCTTTCTGGAGGTGCTGATCCTACAGCATCTCTGGAACAACCATTCTGAAGCCATGTAGTAGCTGGGAGAGATGATTCTTGTTTGTATGACTCTGGCTTGGGACTTTTGAAAATTCCAAATAATTCATCTTTGAGGGGCTGAGATGATGCATCAGAAGCAAGAGAGAAAAAGGAGTTTTTCTTTGGAGATTTAGCAGAGGAGAAAAGTCCAGAGAGTGTTTTGGGAGGTTCAATTAAGCTCCCAGAGAAAGATTTCACTTTGGTCACAAACCCTGAAAGCATGTCTACTGAAGATCCCAATGCAGATTTGTCTTCCTCTTTATCTGCATCTTGGTTCTGAAGGTTCCCTGCACACCCTGGCTTTGGAGAGGAAGAGGCTGGCCCCAGGATCTGTGGTAAGACCTCATCGGGGGCCTTTTCTAATGGCAAGTTCACTGGTTCAGTAGTAAATTTCTCATTTTGGTGGTAGTTAGTACAACTATTTAAGTCATTGAATTTTTCAGTTAACTGTTTAGCAAGTGAAAAAGAGTTGGACAGTGAGTCACTGGGGAAGGCTTTGTGGTTGAAAGCCTCTTCTTCATGGCGAACTATCCCAAGGCTCTCTGGGCCAATGAGGAATGTTTCAGCCTGTGCCTGAAATTCTGGTGAAGGAGGAACAATGTCTTTTTGCAACTCATTCATCTGGAAATCCACTGATGTTCGTGGTCCAGTATTGGAACTCAGTTTTTCCTCACAGTCCCTCTTCTCTACACTGAGCTTATCTGCAAGGGAGGTAACCTCAATTGTGTTGTTAATGGAAATACAAGGTGCCATTTGCTGTTCATGAACTACTTCTTGGGCTATGCTATCTCTATGACCACTGGAACTTTCTCTGGTCATTGTGCTACCACTGTCTACAAAAACATTTGACTTCTTACACGGCTGGGAGGTCACTGGAACAACAATTGAAATGCTTTGTTTTTCCCCAGAGGTCTCCTTATTTTGATCCAAAAAGGGCAAGCTGAAGAAACTAAAAGTAGAGCTACTATGAGAGGTATCCTTCTTAATGCTTGAGCTAGCAGTGGAAAAAAAGGAAGGAAGTGTGAATAGCCCTTCTGCTTGAGATTTGGCTCTTGGTAGACTAGCAGAGGCTCTGTTCTCAGATTTTTCAGATCCAGTCAGAAAAGAAAATATACTCTTTTTGGTTGGTAACTCTGGTTGAGGTGAAGATGTTGTAGCCATGGAGAAACTCCAGTCTTTGTCAGAAAAATGATATTGTTCATTTGAATTTCTCTTGCTCAGGGTATCAAAGGATATTTCATTACTTTTTGAAGCTTCTGTCACTGTAGTCACACCACTAGTTTCTACTGAAGAATCCCTGGAAGACTCTTTGAGACTACATGTTGAAAAAGATGAATTAGGTGACTGCTGGATTAGATGGTCTCTGAATGGTACCTCTTTTTCAGTCAAATCATTACCCTGGATCCCTCTAGTTGATGGTTCCTTTAACCTACTGTCATCAATAGTAGTCTGTTTGTTCAGTCTTCTAACTCTAGCCTTCCCTTTGGAGGAAATTGGTGCAGCAGGAAAGTTCCCAGCACCCTGGCTAGCTAGTTCTATAGGAGTAGGACTTGACCTGACCTCATCCTTATTAATCACTGAAGAAACAGACATATTTTCAGTTGTCTGTATAGGAGATACATTGGCTTTAAAGAAATCCCCAAGGGTACCCCAAAAATTTGAAACACCAGAAGATTCTTTCTTTTCCTGAGGTGATATCTTGACATTTGTATCACCAGTCTTTTCTAAGTTTGGTGATCCTTCTTTATTCACCTGAGTTTTAAAAAGGTTCAAAAATCCAGATGACTGTTTTTCATTTGCTGTCATACTAACTGAAGATTCTCTACTGAAGAGTTTCAATGCA